GACGTGGCCAGAGCCTTGCCAAGGAGAAGCATAGAGCTGACAAAAAAAGCTGATGGCCCTCCCCCCCCCCCCCCCAAATGAAAACCGTCGGATGCACCTGACATGTTAACGAGCCTTGAAAAGAGGGCTGGCAAATGATTGACAAAGGCCCCTGACGGTGAAGACCCCCCTCCCCGAAAAAATCGTGGTATTTTACTCACTTGTTAACTAGTGGCACTGTTGTTCGTTTTATTGTTATGTTTACCTTGTAACCTGAACGGAAATATACACCAGAAGCTACCGGGGGATCTATTTTGTTTGCATTGTGGTGTCAAAAGACTGCAGAAATCAGGCGTTGAACAATATGAAATAAATCACTTCCATTTCGCAATGGTTCAGTCGACTTTTTCTAAGCCGGAAGAGCTCAGAAGCTTGACCAGATTGTTTATATGTTCTGCAGAGAAATTGAAGACCCCTGAACGTGGCGTGCATATCGAAATAGGGTCCAAAGTTTGTATTGACATGGTTAACCCATGCTCGTTTTGAAATTTCGGGATGTCAAACATTCAATCAGAATCGATAACTGAGAAAAATTACGTCACATGGTTTTGAATACGCAAACACGCAAATCTTGCAACAACCTTGACGCCCGGCGTTGCAGTCACCAAAGGCTGGGCGGCGTCGGTCACGCGGTTGATATGAGTGGTGGCCAACGGGCAGATGAAAAAAATCATCCATTTGAAAAAGTGCTTCTGAGAACTCTAGGAAATTAATTTGTACGTGTAGAAAGTGCTCCGGACATGTATTTCACCGATGTGATTTCTGGGTTGATAATGAGGACTGGTTAGTCTTTACAGCACCGCGAAGTGGTGCTGGAATCTGGTGGTGGAACTGGAAGATTAAAAGAATAGTTTTTGTTTTCCGGGTTGCTTTAGCTCTTAATTTGACCAGAGGACATTCTCAAAATTGTTAAGAGCATGGGACCCGGTCTGATTTTTGAATGGCTCCAATCTATTTTGAAAGGCTTTCGGCAGCATTTTTCCCGACGGTTGTTCCCGCGCGCACGACGTCCTGCCGCCTGGTATTACCTGCAGTGGCCTGGGCCGTTCGGTTTTGCGAAGCTGCAACCCGGCGATCATCGCTGCTCTTGCTGTTGAGGTTGCGTTTGTGCAGGATCCAAAACTTTTTTACGTTATTTGTTTCATCCGTCGTTTTGTCAAGGAATGAACGTTCTCAGGCGAACATTAGTAGCCCTCTTTAATATTTTACCTCATCGTGATCCTCTCCACTCAACACTTCTCAGACCCTCACGTTTGTCGGGCGAGGGGCCCGTGGGAAGCACACTAGGGACACATAATCACTACCGGTCCTGGTCTGAGGAGCCATTCGGTCCCAGCGCGGGGCGCTCTCCGGCTGCTAGTCCGGTGACACGGTGGCGGCGTCCCCCGTTGGATCCGGGGCCCCTTGCGGGATACATCACACCATTTTGAACATTATGAGCATGTGCTGAGGGGAATGCATGCAACCATGCAGAAGAACCAACGCTATATAAAAAGACAGAACGGAGCCTGTGGTACCAGAGGAAACACGGATTTGCCCCTGGATGTGCCCGTTCGCCGTACATGATAGGATAATATGCTGCCATTTACCATATGAAGCAATTGTGTTCTGTGCGCTTCGAGGAAGACGGCTGGTAAACTAGATATATTGGCGTGCATGTTTAAGGTAGTATGCAAGTACGCTAAATAACCTAAATCTGAAAAATGCAGGGCCAGTTATCATCGCTGTCCCTACCCACCTTAAAAAGTGGGGGCAAGCCTCCCCCTGACCACCTGTTCCTGCACTCATGGCACCATGTCATGCGTGGCGGTAAAACCAAGTGGTGTGATAAACACGGTGTCCGTTGGCAGCAATAATTGGGAACAATGATTCGTTAACGCATGCCATTGCGCAGCGGCAATTGCATCGCCCAGTTTCACAGTACTGCAAAAACACCAATATCTACCTTGCTTTGCACGCGTTGAGACTTAGAGCTACGGCGTCTCAGAACTATTTTAATCTCGTCCCAGAACAAAAACAGTTCACATAATTGAAATCACTAACAAAGAACATTTCGGAGGGATCAATTCCTTTAGGCATACATGCTTTTTATAGAGCTTCCCTGGCAAATACTTTAAGCATACATGCTTTCTATAGACCTTTCCTGGCAAATACAACATTTCATCAGCACGACGCTCAAGTCCAAACCCCGGCGGTACAGACCATACAAGGAGTTGTCTGTAGGGGTCCCAGTGGGTCAGATAATGTCCTATACGGTCGGGTCGGCCACGTCTTCCGAGGCCGAGCCGTCTCCCAGAGGGTCGGGTCACGCCTCAGAGGATCGGGTCTGGTCTCGTCTCAGGTCAGGCCACGTCTCGGAGGATCGGGTCTGGTCTCGTCTCAGGTCAGGCCACGTCTCAGGTCAAGCCGTCTCAGAAGGTCGGATCAGGTCTCAGCAGGTCCAGCGACATCACCCCAGCGTACACCTTTCAACCCGGCTCGGGACGCCATTCAAGCCTCCCCCCGCACGCGGCCGCTGGGGCGCCGTCCCCACAGCCCGTTCGGGCACGACGAAATGGGGACTTCCGCCCGCCCCAGCCTACGGTCGGGACATGCAGCCGACGCAAATTGAAACTTGTCCACCGCCATCGACCACCCTTATTTCGCGACCATTCGGTGATGAAAGCGGTCTCGGGACGGCGCTAGAGCGGCGGCCCCGCCGTCCGCGGGAGCAAGTTGGCGTCCAATATCGCACCGGCTCACTGACAGATGTGGGGGCGATGTCGTTTACTACCGCCGAGGCCCCCCCCCCGCCCGCTGCGGTGGAGTAAACGCTCCGTCGAGCGCCGGTTCCCGCCACTCAGCCACATGAGCTACCCGGCATGCCGGAAAGTGTGACACATACTTTCTCCGACAGCGCAACTTTCAGCACGGAAGTTTGCGAAAGAATCCAGCCGCCGCAGGTTCCGGCGGACGGCGGACGATAAAAGAAAACAGCCCCCCCCCCCCCCCCCCGTCTATGACATGCTGCTGCAAACACTCTGAACGGCTCGCTGAAAGCCTGCTGCAAAAGCTACAGCTTCAAAAGCAGTCGGCCGCTAAATCCCGCCACGGCTTCAGGGCACCAGAAGGGCCTAACGCAGGCGAGGGCGACCGACTAGCAGGACACATGAACTGGGGTCGGGGGGGGGGGGGAGCGCAGCAACCACCAAATTCGATGAACTCGCCATTTTTCCCGCGACTCAAGATACAAAGTCATCATTATCACCGCGGCGTTCCAGGGGGCACGGCAAAATTCGAAACAAGATGTGCAAACTCATATAACTCGATTTCTTTTAAACCTAATGCAAGATGTTGTTAACTTTAAAACTATAAGGCTGCAGCGATGCGGCCCCCTACACTGTGAACGTGTTAGCAGCCGAAGCCCGGAGCGTTCATCCTCCTCATAGCACAGTATAGCAGTATAGCACAAGGCCAGATGACTGACACTCCCGGTACTACACAAGGACAGCCAACTGACCAGGTGTATCCTGAACACGCGTCGGCGTCGTACAAAAAGCACAGCTCAGGATAAGAAACAACTCGGGCCATATCACATTCGGCAAACAGCTCAGATTCCAAGGCACCGTTTCCACACAATTCGAGTCAAGAGTGGGCAACTGAAACTGCAAAAAACATCAACGAATCCTTTCACAACGCAGTTGACTGGTGCACGAGCATAGAACACTTTAACGGGCTTCCGACCAGCCACAGTCAACCACTTAACACGAGTAAACTATATCACGGGCCGTCCGCGGCGTTTCTACGCGAAGGAAGGCCCAGCAGAAATTGGCGCCACACGGCGTCCGACCCATCATCTACCGAGCGCGCAGCGCATCACGGCCGCTGGCGGCGCCTAACCATCATGCCACGCGACGTTCCAGACCTCATCTCAGCCGTTCCGAAATCACTGCCAGTGTTCAGTTTCACGGGTCGGTCACTTCGACCCGGAAAAAGCCGGTACGGTGACTAGAGCCAAAGCCTCACAGGGTGCAGAGAAGCAGTACCTCACCAACATCACAGACCACAACCCTCCGCGCAGAGAAGCAGTGCCTCACCAACATCACAAACCACAACACTCCGCGCAGAAAAGCAGTGCCTCACAAACATCACAAAGGCACTCCGCAGCACCAGTGTTCCGCCGCCACCCGCGGCGTCCCTGTTCGGCCTGGAATGCAGAGCGCACGACCCCTCCTGGGGCATCCCACTTGCCCCTTCTTACGGGAGAGGCGCTGGCAACCGCGTGAGCGGTGGGACGAGCCCACAGCGGACACCGCTCAGAGGCGCTCCGCCGGAGCACTGTCTTGACCTCCCCGGACTCGACTGCCACCGGCCCCCCTCCCCCGAACCCGACTATCTCTCACAGCCGGGCACGACAGCCCGGGACCGGGGCAACACGCCTGCACCGCGTGGGGCGCGGCTCCACGCTCCTGGTGCCCCCCCCCCCCCCCCCCCCTCCTCGTAGAACGCGGACTGTCCGAATGACGCAATCACCGCAGACGCCGATGGAAACATCACAGCACCGACCGCCCCCAGCGCAGCGCTTCCAGCACGGTGATGAGCGGCCGCCCGCCGACCGTCCCGGCCAGGGGCAGGTCAGGGCGGCGCCGGCGCCCGCAGCTCGCACGCGCTCGGCACGCGCCCCGCGCCGGGCCGTCCGCGCGGCACACCCCGGCCGCGCCGCGACGTCACGTCACTTGGACGAGTGGCACCCCGCTGGCCGCACCGCAAGTCCATCGTCACAGCGCCACCTGTGCGCCTTGAGGCGGGCCGGCCAGCCTGCCGTCCGGGCTCATTCGCCGCGAAGTTCACGGCACAGCACGACTTTCCCGACTGACACCAAACCACCGACTCGACAACACACTAAGTGATGAGCCCGGTACTTGAGGTCTTGTTCGGCACCAAGTGTCTTGCTCGCCTGCGGGCAGCGCCTCCGCTGCGCCTCAGTTGTGCTGCTCCAGCTCGTCCAGGAAAGCCTCGTAAGCCTCGTCCAGCTCGTCGTCCTCGTCCTCCTCTGCCGTTTGCACCTGCTGCTCCATGAACCAGCGCTCCTCGGCCGACAGTCCTCCTGAGGGCGGCCGCTCCTGAGGACATATGAGGACCCGGTGCTGAGGCTGAACACTACTCGCCTGGGGTAACAATCCTCCCAAGGCTACGTGAGGAGACAAAAGCGTGACCCAAGGGCGCGGCAAGGAGGAATGACGTAAAGAGTGACACTCTTCGAAACTGTGGCGCATCAGCGATACACACCCGCCTCAACAAACACACAGTCATGCATGCTTGCCACTACAACACACTTCTCCGCTCCGCCCGCAAAGTTCCAAATGCCAAAATTCGGTTCCCACTTAATGCCTCGTCTCGCCCTGCCGCGCCTCGCCATAGCCTCTTCTCGCCTCGCCTCGTCTCGCAGCGCACTGTCTCACATGCGCATCACCTCGCGTGACAGCCGCCTCCGTCTCCCAAACCCTCAGCTGTCACGCACTATCGAGACGCGAGGACGACGTTAAGACACGGCCTGGACATAGCGCCCGCAGCAAGGCACAGAGGCGGACACGCGCCGTCCAGACCTGGGCGCCGTCGCCATGCGCGGCCGGCGCCGGCGGCGGGGAGCGGCCGTCGGCCTGGCCGCCCCAGTGCGCGGCGCGCAGGTTGGCCAGCTCGAGCAGGGCGCGCCGCTGGTCGCGGGCTAGCGCCGGGTCCATGGCGCCGGCGCGCACGCGCTCCATCAGAGCGTCCAGCGCCGGCGACGCCTGCCGCTCCAGAGCGGCGCCGGTCAGCTGAAACAGCACGCTCAGGTCAGCGGCCAGTCACGGCACGGGGAGTGGGGTGTGAATGAGACGGCGCGGGTTACGCGCCTCGGGAAGACTTCGTGACGGACGAGTGAAACATGTGTGTTCGTTTTTCCAGAGCATTTGTGAATCTAGAAAACAACCAGCAGAGCTCAAAATGATGGACTACGAAGAGGCACAAAGCAATGGAGAAATGTCGTGAAAAGCATCTTACATCAGAAAATGACGCTAACTTAAGCAAAGACTTCGTCCAGATTCGGAACCTTTTGACGGAAAACCGTTAACATATCACGGATATACAGCAAGCATGCATATGCAGTGCTACAAATAGTGCCACATAAGCCCGGAACTCTATCACGTAGCATCCGTCCTGCCGCCAACAGCGAGCGGCAGCCGCGCGGCCGGTCGCCTGGCGAGCTCGGCTCACCTTGAGCGCCTGACAGACAGTCCTGGCGCCCCCTGGTGTGACGGCGTCCAGCAGCTGGCCGCAGAGTCCGAGCACAGCCGAGCCGAGCACGGCGATCGGCTCCTCGCCGCCCGCCAGTCGCACGTGCAGGTACAGCTCGCAGAACAGCACCGTCAGCTCGGCGAAGGACCGTTCGCTCTCCGCCAGCAGCGCGCCCGCCTGCCTGTACAGCGACTGACATCTGGCGGAGAGATGCCAGGCTGAAATTACGCGACCCTCTTGCAGATGGCGTCCGACGAGGCACTCGGCACTCAGCTGAAAACTTTCGGTAATCAGCGAATCCGTCTGACAACCTCTCTCTCGACAGCAGCATTTGCTCTGGACATGCGACAGTCGTTCGCGCCTCCCACACCGGCTGTGCCCTGAGATCTTGCCCGCTCCGCGGTCTAGTCCCTTGTCCCACCAGCTGAGTCCAGAGCTCTGCCTGCCCCGCGGTCTCAGCCCTCGTCCCACCTGCTGAGCAGCAGGTCACGGAAGGTGCGGGTGCCCTCGTTGACGCGGCACCGCGAGCACATGACGTTGCAGAGCCTGGCACAGACGTAGCGGAAGGACGGCTCGCAGGCCACCTGCCGGCAGCGCGGGAGGGCGGTCATTCCGGACGTCCTGGGCACGGCAGGCTCGTGATCCAGCCCCGCGTCGGAAGGTCAGCGCCACCTTCGTGAGCTGAACAACCTTCAAACTTAGGGGACTGAAGCCTGCCGAATCGCGGCAGGAGTTATGAGAGTGACGACAGAGTGTAGATGAGTCATGGAAGTGGAATGTCATGGAAGCACTCAAGCCTACCTCAGATTAACATCGCAAACAGCCGGCCAGTGAGTAGCGGGCTGGAGCGACTGAGCCGCCCGGCATCACAAGGGATCATCTCGCCCTCCTCCTCACCTGGTTCAGCATCCAGTCGAGCACGACGGAGAGTCGGATGCCGGACGACGGTAGCCAGCCGTTCACGTTATCCACGAACACAGCGCCGAGCCGGTCGAAACTGACAACACAGCCGGCTCGTCAGCGACACCGGCAGCACTGGCGCTGCCGTCGGCTGGTCGTGCCGGCAACGCTGTGAACGTGAGTCGAAGGTCCAAATCGCAAAACCTGAAACTTGCATCCACCAATCAATCACGCGTGTCAAGGGAGAACGATAAGAGTCATATGAGGGAGCTTGATCATTACCATGCTTCAAAGCAGCTAGCACGTGACAATCACGAGACTGGGGATCTTTTGGTGCCACCTTTCATCAGTTGTGACGTTCAAACGGACATGTCACCGCCATCACCCTCATCTCCCTCTCACTAAACGGGAAGAGCACCCCGTGCCTTCTTATGCAGCCCCACTCTGTCCTGATCAGACAGCTGGTCTCCGTTCGCCGGTCTCCGGTCTCCGGTCCCCGGTCTCCGGTCCCCGGTCTCCAGTCTCCGGTCTCCGGTCTCCGGTCTCCTGTGCCCAAACCCCGAAGCACACCAGTTGCGATCAGGACGTCGCCACCTGTCTAGCTACCGACCCCGTGAGGAGGGGCGAGGGGGGCCTACCTGGCCGGCTGACAGGTCATACTCCAGAGCGTCTCGGCGATGTTGTTGTAGATCATGCTCTGGTAGGCGTCGAACGCAGCCGGGATATCCTGTTGGACAAAAGGTGGTAGGTGAAGATGGTCGGTCTGATCATGACGGCATCATCCGACATCATGCACTGCAGCTGGAATCGCGCATAGTCTAGTTAATGCGTCCATATCATGAATACACATAATGTTACATTGGTTAAATACGGCGCAAGACAGTCTTTTCTACATCAATGGACATATGGAAATACGAAAGAGCTGGTTCTTGACGAGGTGATGAGATGAGATGAGATGAGAGAAAAGAGGATGAGCGGCAAAAGAAACCACAGTGTGTCTATTACTGATACCGTATCCGCGAACGAACTAAATGAAATACAGAAAAGCTGAGACGAAATAAGATGCGATAATAACTTTAAAAGATCAAAGCTATTTCAAAAACTGCACTTGACATTAACAAGTATTTCAGGATTTGACAGCAACACAGAACACCACCAGAACACCAACAACAGCACGCGATGCACGACCTAAAAGACGTTTGGACTGCATGCGAGCGCCACAAGATCAATATGTGCCAGGCCCGCGATTCGTCTACGACCCACGACCAAACGCCGGGCCCTTTTTCGGACGTCCCGTTCCGCCACCGCGCGCGGGCCCACCTTGATGAGGGCCTGGTTGACGGGTGCTTGGTCGGCGTCCAGCTCGGCCCACTCGTTGCCGCCCAGCTCCGGCTCCGGCTGCAGCTCCCGCGGCGGCGGCTGGAGCGACGCGGAGACGGGCCGGGCCGGCGCCGACCGCGGCACGAACGGCGGACTGAGCGGGTCGAGCGCGGCCGGGCGCGACGCCGACGAGCCCGGCACTGACACGTTGGCCCACGCCGACCGGTCACCGCCGCCTGTCGGGGGCGCGCCGAGGCATCAGCACACGGGCGCCCGTGCGTCCGGGCCACACGGCCGTCTGAGTCAGGAATTAGCTATGCAATCGGTTTTGTGGAGGAAGGTCAGGTGCAGATCACATAGTAGAAATGACGACACCAAACGGAAATGAACAAGCAGAAAATCGTGGATTTTTTTCATCTAACCATCACTCATCAATACTTATATAATGCTAACAATATACACTCATACAATACTAACCATCCTGCCACACAACCCATGCATCAGACACAAATGAGGCGGTAGTGGTTTTAAGTTTTGGGGTGTGTTGACTACCAATAATCATGCAGCGTCCAAGGCACAAACTGCGGTCGAGTCTGATCAGCTGAGGTGGTGCCGCCCCATGCGCCTCACCAGTGCGCTGTTGCGGCTCAAAGCCACCGGCCTGAGGTCCAGACAGCTGTCGCTGAAGGGCGGCTGGGACCGCCGCTGCTGCTGGGGGTGCCGGCTCTCCGGCCGCCACGCTGGAGCGCTCCCGCGGCCGCCGCAGCGGCGCCGGCGGCCCGTTCTCCAGCAGCTTGCCGCGGCCGCGGCCCCGCCCCAGGCCGCCGCCCACGCCCAGCATGGCTGTCGCAGTCTGCGGCACACAGGACAAACAGAAGTGAACAGCAATCTGTGGCTTGCATGGAAACAATGGTTTGCACAGAGGATGGGTGGACATTGGACTGGAGTCCTTTCCACATCACCATTTCCTCACATGACAGGAATGTGGGCAGTCTCCCAACCCTTGTAAGTGCTGGTGGTCCTGCAAAAATCAGTGGTCACTGTGGTATAGTTCTAAAATTTGCATTTCCTAGATATTTTGATTTGAGATATATTAGGTCTTATTATAAAAGCAGAATGTGATGCTGACACCATTTTTACATTTCAATCAAGATCACTCACTGTTATAAAGGCTGAAACACATGAACAATAGTGAATTGTGTTTGATAGTCATTTGTGTCACCAGTATTTTGGTATAAATATTAGCTATTCATGCAGGGGCACTGCAGACTCTGTCACAGCAGGAGATTAAACTTTTGGTAATGTGCTTCCAATACACAGATAGGAACAATTTTACATGCACAGAGAGATGGAAGGCTCAGTCTGCCCTCTAGTTTCCAGACCTAAGTATTCATGTTTCTTGACAACCTAATTTAGAGTTCATAGGTGGGGTCAATATTGGGCCTGATCTGATATAACAACAAAACCAAACACAGGCACGACATGCATGCCATTCATCCCATGCTAAAAGAAAATATGATGACCATTGTCTTCTTTAAGCACTCATGCAATCAGCTTAGCACTGGCACATCACTTTCATATTATACCAGTTCCTCAACGATTTATCAGATACAACCGAAGGCCCTAGATCTACAGTGCAACGAAGCTTCAATGTCGGGATGGGAAACAACACCCACCACAAAACAGGTTAACCCGCACGGCTGACCAATGCCCCAGAACCGGGCGGTTACCAATCACAACACCCAAGGCAGCAAGACAGGCTCCAAGCCACACAAGATTTGGAAGCTGCAAGCGGCGCAACCAAGAGAATGTGAAGGAAATGGTTTGACATTATTTATAGGTCAGGGAGAGTGGTCTGTGTTTGCGTTACATACGTGCGTTTTGATCAAATATAACTTAATTTACGATCCAAAATAATTTTATATAACTGATAAAGCAAACAAACTAGCCTCAAAACATCTAAACTATCTCCAGAGTGGGAGCGAAATGTAAAACATTTACCAGCCACATCAGCTTTTTACCTAAAACCAAAAAGTATCTTAATGACATTAAATGGCGCGTCTGCGACCTACTACAGCTTTCGATGAATGTGCTCAAGGTCGTAGGGCCCTACATATAATTGAATCAGAAGTCAGGATCAGATATACTTGTGTTGGCGTCTTCAGGCAAGGTATTATCGGGACAACTTCCACTGAATGGAATAAAATTTGGAGCGTGCACGGATGTTGAGGCCCACTTCCCACAGCCTTTCTACGGTGCCTTGAAAGCTGGTCAGCCTTTTAAAATGGTCTCAATGGTGCAACCTAGGTGGCAGAAAAGGGACTGGAGGCTTCTAAGCTGTTATTAAAGCTAGTATTTGAGCCGTGGTTTTTCATCCTCATCACCTCATGGGGGGGGGTTCTGTGGTGAGAACGTTCATACATTATGATCCTTATTGTGAACACAACATTGAGGGGTCTTGCTGGTGATGTTTTATTACTTTCTAGTGTTTTGCACAGCGATCATGTGGGCATCTGAAACTTTCATTTGATGGCTGAAGGCATATAACTGCTGTTTCTCTTTGTCCAAACAGATCTGTGATGCTCTCCAGACCATGGGACTGATGTGTCTTTATGCTTAGTCAGCCATAACCACAATTAATGGGCATACCAGATTTGAACTTGAGCAATGTGGTGTCAGCTCTGAGCATTTACTTATCTGTCATGATTTTTTTGTATGCAAATATCTCCAGATGCATTGCAGGCAATTACACACCCACAGGGACTACCATGTGTGATACATAATGGCCTGTGTCATCCATTTATGGCCTGCCCTAGAGATGGGTTAAGTTAACTAAACACAGTAATCTGTATGCACTAGGCAACACCTTTATTTCCAATCTTGTCTGGTGTACAAGATCTCATGTTTAGTTTGGCTCCTGGCAGTCAGCACCTTGTCATCACTGTGCTCCTGCAGCTCAACATGTCTGGTGGCAACATCATCCTGGTGACGGGTGGCACCGGCCTGGTGGGCAAAGCCATCCAGACACTGGTGGAGAAGGAGCTGAAGAGACCGGGCGAGACATGGGTGTTCCTCAGCTCCAAGGATGGCGACCTGACGTGAGCGCACACCCTTCCCTGAAATGTGTTTGGCTGACAACATTAGCTGTGTGAATGTTCATGATTATTGTGCAGCACTTTCAGAATCAGGATGTGGCAGATGGAATCCTTTCAAAAGCAAGCAGCCCTAGGATGGGTAATGAACCCAGCATACACACCCATGAAAGGCAGCACATGTCAAACTCCATCGGGCCTCATGGCAGTCAGTCAGTGCTCAATATATTCAGGCATCATATAAATACTGTGACCTATGGCTCTCAAGCCAACTATATGGCATGCAAACAATTTGAACCATTAAGATGCATTGATTTCCTGGTCAGCTTACTGAGTGCACTTTCCATTCACTGTTATCATTCTGCCATGAATTGGTCATTTCCTGTTTTGGTCACCCATCCCCTACCCCTGTCCCCCTGCTCCTTTGACTGTTCCATAGTGCAGCCTGTGCCCCCATCTCTGCCACTGTCCTCGTGCATCCCCTTACACCGCTCACTTGCCACCTCCTCTACCGCCCCCTGCTACTGTCCCTTCGCCCCCACCCATGCTTCTCCCCCCTGTGCTGCCACCTCGTCGCCTCCCACCATGCCGGTCCGCGGCCACCAGCTAACCCCCTCCCCGCCGCTCCCCCGCTGCCTCCCCAGGGACCCGGCGGCGACGCGCGCCATCTTCGAGCGCCACCGACCCACTCACGTCATCCACCTGGCGGCCATGGTCGGCGGCCTCTTCCGCAACCTGCGCTACAACTGCGACTTCCTGGTGAGCGGCGCCCGCTGCCGCCGCCTCGGCCGGGACCGGGTCGGCCGTCTCGGCACGGACGTTACGGCTGTCGTGCCCGGGCAGAACTGGCGGGACTGCGTCGATGGGGCATGCGGGTGATGGACTGTGTCGCTGGGGAGGACTGGCGGGACTGTTTCGCAGGGGAATGCTAGTGGTGGGACTGCGTCGCTGGGAGAGGACTGGCGGGACTGTGTCGCTGGGGAATGCTGGTGATGGGACTGTGTCGCTGGGGAGGACTGGCGGGACTGTGTCGTCGGGGAAGAACTGGTGAGACTGTGTCGCTGGGGCAAGAATGTGATGAGACTGTGTCGCCGGGGCGGGACTGTGGCGGGACTGTGTCGCTAGGGAGGGCTTTAGCAGGACTGTGTCGCTGGGGCGGGATTGTCCCAACTGAGTCGCTGGGCAGGATTGGCTCGGAACTGTGCCGCTGGGGGAGGACTGTTCCGGAACTGTGTCGCCGGGACAGGACTGTGACGGGGCCGTGTCGCTGGGGCAGAAATGTGACGGACTGTGCCGCTGGGGAAGGACTGTTTCACTGTTTCGGGACTGTCGCCGGGGCAGGACTGTGACGGGCAAGACTGTGACGTGCTGCGTCGCTGGGGCGGAACTGTGTTGGGACTGTGCCGCTGAGGCCTTTGCAATAAGTAGGACTGAAAGCAACTTCTGTGGAAAGCAAAAGGAAGAGTTGCTGAAAATGGTTTCATGCTTTAAAAACCACATACAGCATTACGCTCCGTCTCATCTGTTCTCTCACCGATTTCAATGAGCGCCTCGAGCTTGAACTGGAGCGTCTGTCGGCCGCTCCTGGCGTTGCAGTCTCTGTGACATTGCACGGCGTGCGCAGGGCGACGGCAGGGCGTTAACACTAGACACGTCGCGCCGGAGACTAGTCAGCTGGCTGGCGACGGATGGTGCTTATTCCCAATGAAGCCTACGCTAATTGGCTAATGTCCACGTAATTGGATGTCATAGAAAGGGGATCCTGGTTTTCGTGCTGCATGTTAGGCAAGAAGGAAATCCATAGCATTCAGATAGTACACTTGCGTGAATGCTCCAGCGAGCAAGAAAGAAGCTAGCAGTACGGTGCAAGGAATATTAATAAGCGGTTATTGCCAAGAAAATGCATTTATCATCTCGACAGCACCGGATACTCGCTTTGTTATATTGAAACACCGAATGTGTTTGCCAGAAACGGAAAACGGTTTGAAAGATCAGTAATGACTACCAGTCACAGGTACGACAGCGGATATCCACGTCAGTCCCGTCTGCCCGCAGTCTGCACTCAGTGCAGACAAAGAGCAGAGTGGGACAGCTGTGACGGTCGCTGGGCGGACTCAATGGCGATTTCTGCATCGGGGTTTACTATCTCGCAACTCTCCCCTCCTGTCGCGTGATGGTGAGAGCGTGTCGCTTCTCGTGATCAGACACCGGCCGTGACACCCCAGTCACGGCCGCGTCACGCCGCTCGACACTGCCAGTGACTCGGGGAGCAGGCCGGGTCTAGCGGCCGGTGCCGCGCGCAGTTTCCTCCCGCATCGGTCACGTCACGTGTCATGGTCAGTTCGGCGCTTGGGCCTTCCCAGCTGATCGTGTCGGCGCTGGTGTCGCCCTCTCAGCTCAACTGGCAGACCTTGCACTGCCGCAGCGAGTGACGATGGCGCCTCCTGGTGACCAGAATCGCATCGATCGCCTTACCTCGGACCTCCCCGACCTGTGCGTTAGCATCGCTAGTAGTTCGTTTTCCGAGGAGGGGTGGGGGTCTAGAGATGGCGCGAAGCAGGGGTTTCGCTTGATTGGCCCTCCTGCCTTCTTCTGGGCTTCGTCTTACATCGTTTTGAACGGGTGCATGGTCGGAAGCAGGCGTGCGGCACCAGATGTCAAACCAGGTCGAGATTCGATTTAGACCCACATCGGCCCGATGTACGCTGTGCGAACGTGACCTCACTAACCGGGGGAGGGGGGGGGGGGGGGGGGGAGTTGAGCGAGATCCTGGGCGTGTACGTATGTACGCACCATCGGGTATTTAAAATGTTGTGCGTTTTTGAAGAAATGACGCTGCATTTGACGTTGATTTCCATTGCTTAGTCATAGCAGAACATGTGTTGCGTGTCGCGCCTCAGCATTGAGATAAATCACCGAACGAGACATCAGTTAGGAACATTCGCACCGAATGGTGAAAGCCAAAACCGCAGCACATTTGCGCGCTATCACACAAGCTGTACAAGCAAGACAGTTACTACAATTATCCCGCTGTACCGAATTGTTACCTAACCAGCTGACCAGTCATTGAGCTCACGCGTCCCCCGGGGCACTGTAGTACGGTCGGCTGCCAGACCTGGGCACTGCCGGCAGCGGACGGGTTCGGCGCTGAGTAAGAGACCACACACGACGTAGCATGGCGATGGGCAGGACGTGCAGGCTGGAGACCGGCGTGCGTCGCGATCCTGCCGCAGCTGTATGCCCGAACCGGTGTATCTTACGATTGCAGGGCCTTCCTGCACACCGCATTCTTGGTCTTGGCTTTTAAGGTGCTACGTTTTGTCATTTAGGTACTACAAGCAGTACCCGCTTGGCTCGCTGCGCGAAGGGACGCTGCCGTTGACACCGGTTGCGTATTTTCCCGGAATGAAGCACTAACCTGCACGCCACGCCTTCGAAGTCTGTATAAGGCGTCACATTCGCTTTTCAATCCCGTCATCCAGTCACTGATGAAGGCCTTTCCAATCGTCACGCTAAGTAACGCTTTTGCATTACATAGTAGTAGTATGCCGCTGGAATTGATCGACACTACGGCCCGCTGCGGGGATCGGGTAGTGTACGTGGTGTGCGCATAGAACCTGATGTCCGTCATGTCTGAGCTATTTTGGGCATCTAGCGCGAATAGTGAGTGCCCCGAAGACAGTGACATTCAGTTCATTCCAGTCCGAGCTGTCGCGGCATGTTTTTCAACCCTCGAAGATGGCTCTGTCCGTCCCCCATCCACGTTAGGTTTTGTCGTCACGAAACCTGCGGACACGGTCCCCTTTCCGCACGCGCCACGGCCGTTCCGGACGTCGGAGCGGCGTGAGATTGTGCCGTGGAGCGTCACGAGGGTTGTACCCGGGGTGCATATACTTGGCACTGTCATCGGCACAGCCGTCTGCGCTGTGTATCTCGGCGATATATCCGGACGCTCACACGCACGCACGCACGCACGCACGCACGCACGCATGCACGCACGCATGCACGCACGCACGCACGCACGCATGCACACACGCACGCACGCACGTAGGTACGTACGCTACTAATTTAGTTGTTTGGATGCCGCTGGGTTTATCTTTTGAGCATTCGTTCTGTCAGTCTGGTTTTCTTATGCTGCAATCTTACACTGTCGAAATCAGACGGCAGTCGGCTGCAGGCGCCAGCTGCTCAGATGGCGGTCGGCTGCAGGCGTCAGCTGCTCTGATAGCAGTCGGCTGCAAGCGTCAGCTGCTCAGATGGCAGTCGGCTGCAAGCGTCAGCTGCTCAGACGGCAGTCGGCTGCGGGCGTCAGCTGCTCAGATGGCAGTCGGCTGCGGGCGTCAGCTGCTCAGACGGCAGTCGGCTGCGGGCGTCAGCTGCTCGGACGGCAGTCGCCTGCAGGCGTCAGCTGCTCAGATGGCAGTCGGCTGCAAGCGTCAGCTGCTCAGATGGCAGTCGGCTGCAAGCGTCAGCTGCTCAGATGGCAGTCGGCTGCGGGCGTCAGCTGCTCAGACGGCAGTCGGCTGCGGGCGTCAGCTGCTCAGACGGCAGTCGGCTGCGGGCGTCAGCTGCTCGGACGGCAGTCGGCTGCGGGCGTCAGCTGCTCGGACGGCAGTCGGCTGCGGGCGTCAGCTGCTCTGCGGCTCATCCTCCGGATGTCTCCGGTCGTTCTGGCTCTAGGCCTTTGTAATGGGTCACGGGCTTTTGTGTACTGTGTACACGCTAGTAGCGATGGTGACCCACGACAACGGGAAAGTCCGAGGCAGTGCGGTCGATGCGGTTCTGATCACCAGGAGGCGCCATCGCCACTCGCTGCGGCAGTGCAGGGTCTGCCAGTTGTCGAGCTGAGAGGGCGACACCAGCGCCGACACGATCAGCTGGGAAGGCCCAAGCGTCGAACTGACAATGACACGTGACGTGACTGATGCTGAAAAGAAGTGCGCGCGCAGAACCGGCCGCTAGACCCGGCCAGCTCCCCGAGTCACTGGCAGGGTGTCGAGGGGCGTGACGCGGCCGTGACTGGGATGTCACGGCCGGTGTCTGACCACGCTCACTTTGGGCCCGGCCCACAGAAGAGTCGTCGCACAGGGACCCACTAACGAAGATGTTGCGCTCGAACGGGTGTATGCACGTGTTGGCTCGCGGACAACACGGTCCTATTTCCGCCGGTCTTCACTGGGGCAGCACCGAACCTGTTGAGTTGTTTTCTCGAGACTTACTTGATTTTAGCATCTAAATCAGGTGCAAATGTACTGATGTCTTCTCAGGAGCAATTAAGGGAATGAATCACTGTACGCTGTTTAGAGATTGGTGCGGAACGGATGATGTGTGCAACTCAACGACAACAATTGTTTGTTAGATCGTGCCAGACCAATATTCTGCTGCTGTGAGCCCGTGTCTGGTGTTCTTACGACGTAACAGGGACGCTAAGAAAGGCGGTATGAGGTTTTGATCAGTTTGTCTTTCTGCCTTAGCAGACCCGAAAAAGAGACACCAATTCAGCGCTGGCCAAAAGACTAATCATGGCAATTTGGGCGGTTGACCTTTTTACCTTTGGAGAGTGGATAGGCACAGCCAATTTGGAGTCTAATAGAATGGTTTTCTTCTATTTTTATGAATATTGTTGATTGCTATACCACAACAACAATGACTAGATGCGAAAGGATGTCGGCTTTCCAGCAATACGGAAATTTGGTCACTGATAAATTTCGAAGCATGTTTGATTTGCCGAAACCTAAAAACGCTTCTGAACATTTCACCTGGTGGCGCTTAATCCTTTCTCTCTCAGGACAGCAGAATGACCGAAATATTTTTTTTTACCACCGATACACCTATATCTTCCGAATGTAGCGGCGACAAGCACGCTAGCGTTGCATGAAGTACCTTTGCACCATTTATACCATGGCTTCGGAGGTTAGCCATTCGTGAGCACAATTGGTTCAGAAATTTGGTATTTTGGGATCGTTAGCGAAAGAAAGCTGTGAAAAGTAAGAAATGCGATTATCAGCTATGTCCATATCGGCATTGTTTCATTATGTGAGCCCACTATCGAGAAACCTGTTAATGAAACGCCCTCGTCGAAATCGCTCACACCCATAAACATCACCACGAAACGCGCCTTCGACACTCACTGAGCTGCGCCGTGTGAATCGCAGCGCAAGAACATCCTGATCAACGACAACGTGCTTGAGTCGGCGCACCAGCACGACGTGCAGAAGGTGGTGTCGTGCCTCTCCACCTGCATCTTCCCCGACAAGACCAGCTACCCGATCGACGAGACGATGGTGAGCGCTCCGTTTTCGGCCACGTGCTGATGGTCACCAACAGCCAGGCGGGCTGACCGGGGACGTCGTTTATCTGTGGCTCATGCTTCGCACGAAGGCGTTGCTGCTGAAGGGACTGCTGCTCCCCTATGAGGTTGGACTGGACGCGCCTGATGATGATGTGACCGGTGGCTGCAGGTCTCCAGTTCACCGCAGCGTCGGTTAAGTGCTGGGATGGTTGCGATGATTATTTTCGTTGAGGCTTGTAGTATCGTATGAAGAACATTATCTGCCCATACTCGCTTATATTTTGTTGGTAAGCACGTTTACTCTGTTTGAGATCGGACTCGCATGCGTTCACTAAACGTCTAGCGATTTTCTGCAATGGCTGACTCCTGATGGTACTCGAAGGGATGTGAGTGAATGCGACATGTTACCTATATTGTCATTGACATTATCCCTGTCGGAATGATTCCCATGTGTTGCGTCTTGTTTGCTGGCGTCTTAGCTGAGGCCGCTCCCAAATCAAACGCTGTGGCATGTGCAAACATGACACAGCTACCCGGGTGTATCGAGCGTGCGGTCTGAGCGGCGGCCGGGAGCCAGTCGGTCGCGCCTGCTCAGCGCCGCCGGCCGTCCCCGCCAGGTGCACAACGGGCCGCCGCACCCGTCCAACTTCGGCTACAGCCACGCCAAGCGGCTGGTGGACGTGCAGAACCGGGCGTACGCGCAGCAGCACGGCCGCCGCTTCACGTCCGTCATCCCGACCAACGTGTTCGGGCCGCACGACAACTTCAACATGCAGGACGGCCACGTGCTACCCGGCCTCATGCATAAGGTTGGGGCCACGACGCGGCGCGGACAGACTCGGGTGCTGCCGGACTGTGAAGACACTGTCGGACTGTGAAGAGCGGTGGATGGAACCGTCCTGCGGATGGGTCGCGTTGATCCGGGACATGCGCTGACGCCCTGGAGCTGCGTCTCTGAGGCGCCTGACTCAGGGCTGCTCAGGCGCGCCGCCGGGACGAAGGGGGCGGCGCCCAGGCGGCCGACCGGCCGCTTCGGTGGCGATGCCCCGCGCCTATTCTCTGCTGGTGACGCGACTAACGTGGGCTGATGACGCACACGGACGTCAACATCGGGAACGTGGGATTTTGGCAGCTCTCCGCGGGCCTGAGGCCAGGGGCAGCAATCGTCGTCATGCTGGTTGTCGCGCTGCTGCTGTTAAGGACAGGCTAGAGCCCACTTCATTTGCAGACCGAACTGTCCTGCAGCCAACAGGCGATACGCACGCCCGGTCTCGTGCCGACCTCGTCCGCGCCGCCCGGCTGACCGCTGACCGCCGCCGCCGCGCAGGCGTACCTGGCCAAGCAGTCGGGCGAGCCGTTCGTGATCTGGGGCACCGGCCGGCCGCTGCGTCAGTTCATCTACTCGCTCGACCTGGCCCGCCTGATGGTGTGGGCGCTGCGCGAGTACACTGAGGTCGACCCCATCATCCTCTCCGGTGAGTGGCGGCGCGACGGCCGGTTCGTGCTGGCCAGACGCGGACTGGCGGCGGCGTGACGTGCCGAGAGAAGTGCGGGGAGTGGGTGGCCGGTGGTCGGGTCGGGGCGGCGGCGGTCCGTGCAGCGTGGCCACTGCCCCGCTTTTTGACTGTGGAGGCGCTGTGCGGCGGGTCTGCCGGACGGCCGCCGCGGGACACCGGACGGCGCGCTGGCTCGTGGGAGCGGTCCCGTCATGGACGAAGCGTCCGGCTCGGTCTCGTCGCTGGACGAGTCGCTGGGTTGTCCTCGTCCCGGTCCCGCAGTGGACGAGTCCGGACTGGTTCACGCGTTGCTGCAGTTTGTGCCGCTTCCTCGTGGTGTTCGGGGCTCTGGAATCGTTGTTCCGGTCCTGTTGTGGACGAGGCCCTGCCCCGTTCTCGTCCCGTCCCATCGTTGGACTCGTTCTCCGGACTCGTGCGGGGGCGCAGCCCTGACCCGTTCTCCCGCTGGTGCAGTGGACGAGTCGGACGAGGTTTCGATACGGGACGCGGCTCAGATGGTGCTGGACGCCATCGGCTTCCAAGGCCAGGTGGTGCAGGACGACAGCCACGCGGACGGCCAGTACAAGAAGACGGCCAGCAACGCCAAACTGCGCCGGTAGGGACGGTGGGAAAGGGCTGGATCGCCTCCTAGCCGAGGGTCCAGACTAGGGCTGGAGAGAGACCTGCGTCGAACCTGGGGAGAGTAGTAGTAGAACCTGGGGAGAGTAGTAGTAGAACCTGGGGAGAGTAGTAGTAGTAGTAGTAGAACCTGGGGACCCGCGCCGGAACAGGGGCTAGAGCAGGCACTGGAGCGGCCGGGACGGCTCTGGGTCCCCAGCCGGCCGGGTGCACCGGTGTCACACCTGGCCGCCATGGCATCTTGTCGTCCTGCATCCCCTTGACCGGCCCTGCGTCGTACGCCCCGCCAGCAGCGGACGGACGCGTGCGCGCGCGCGGGTCTGCCGTGGCGAGCTGCCGCGGGGCAGAAGTCGCCCGCCTCCTCCTGAGCCCGGGCCCCGCTGGTTCGCAGGTACCTGCCCGACTTCCAGTTCACGCCTCTGCGCCAAGCCGTACAGGAGACGGTCGACTGGTTCGTCGCCAACTACGACACGGCACGCAAGTAGCCGGGTCGGTTCTCCCGCGCTCCGCGGGTGGAACTGTTGGACGGGCGGCGGGCGGGGCGTCGCTCGGAGTTCGCTGGGGTTCCGCGCCGGCCAAACTTACGTCCGTCCCGGCTGGCTGTGGGGTGCTGCGATGGAACTGTGTTGTTTTGAGTCACTTGCGGTCGGTGTTGTCGGGAGGGCGCGGCGAACCTTGCATGAGACGCGTTGGAAAACTGGTCAGCTGGCCAGGTGCCAAGTTGTATGTAGGATTTGGCCGTTTGTCAACAGTTCGTACTGCGTGTTGTATTTCGGGATCATCGGGATGACTGCAGAAGACAGACGCTGGGAGGCTAGACTCAGGTCGTTTCAGGGACGAAATTTGTGCAGACTGCACGGAACCGAACCGTAGACGTGCTTTTGCGTGCAGGGTCGCGTTTGTAGCAGTGGCATCTTGGTTAAGAGGGAAAATGTTTCACTGTAAGTTGCGCTTTCGTGTAGTTTTGTTGGAAGTGTCCAGAAAATTGTCCGATGTGGTCAGAACGCGTCTGTTTGTCTGTTGGCCCAGTATGTCTTCTTTTTTAGAGGCAATGATTCGAGGCATAGCGTGCTCGGGGTAGTTTTTTTTTTACCTACGGATCGTTGTCATGGTTGGGAAGTCTAGTATTTAGCAGTCCTAAGGCAACGTACAGACGTATGGCTAACGTGACGATGATAAGGCAAGCAAAGACAATCGGCCTGTTAGTAGACAAGTCGAAAAGAGCGCGAAGTTATACGTCTGTGCGCTCCGCCGGCTGACCACACAGAGCGGTGACCACGCGCGGCCCGGCCCCGACCATAGGTCAGGGACCAGGTCACGTGACCCAGGTGCCGCGCGGCCCGACAGGCGCGCCCCCGCGTGTCAGCCCGTCAATGTAGCCAGAACTACAGTGTCACAAGAGGCATGAGAGAGCACCTTTCATTTATACCTATTCTATCGCCTATCGCGCCTACCCTACCTATATGCACCTATCATTGTTATGCTGTGGGGGGATGCGAAGGTGGAGGTGAAAAGTTTTGTTGAAAACCCTCGGTATTGCGCGTGGAGAATAGAGTCGAGGTAGATGCTCTTGACGTGCACTGCGTGGGAGCTCATGGCGTGTTTGTCTACCGTGGCGTGATGCGCGCAGGTGGAGGTCAATACATTTCTAAACAACCCCGGTGCTGCGCGCGGAGAGAGGCGGGCTGGATCCGCCCCGATGGACTCGGGCGCGCAGCTCTTCTGCTCGGAGAAGACGCGGTGCTGCGGCACCACCGCCGCTCAGCTGTCTGGCAGGCGACCCCTCCGGACAATCCGAGCCACGACCGCACAGGCGTGTTTACAGATTATTTATTCAAAATACATTCGCTCTACAACAACGCTCTGAATACCGCCCACTGCCTCCAGCGTTCTCCACTGCACCGCTGTATTTGAGCTGACGAGGAGACGGCCCGGAATCGGCGGCGACCCATGGCTTCCTCCTCTGGCAGATCTGTCATCTTGATCTTTGCCTTCAGTGATAGGTTTTGGAAGTCACAACCATTCTTCGGGTCTTGTGAGAGATACCTGCATCAGTCATAATGTGACACTGGAACGTCGCCATTGTTTTGAATTACCTCGGCGAGTGAGCATGAACCGGGCTGGATCGATCACTTTCGTAACGTTCAATGGCAGTCCTGGACAACGCATTAGCTTTAGGTGCAAATCCCACCGAACAATGATTGGTTTAGCAGGGGTTTCATTGATCACACACACACACACACACACACGTAGCCCAATGTTTAACGCAATGGGAAGTATGCGTGCGACGGGAAGGATGTAGGTAGCGGTCTCAAAGATCTCAGAAAGCGCAATTTTTTCACCACCGCTGGCTTTGAACGGAGGCGGCTGATAGAGATATCAAATTACGCATATTTAACTGTGTAGCGAAATATTCCTTCCCTTGCCCGCCAACGATGGACGCGATCAGGACTGACCAGGCGGGGCGACCCGTGACTGACTTTCGATAACCCCGTCCGGAGCTGACTGACAGGCCTATGGTCCACGGCACGACGCCCACCCATTTCCAAAAGCCATCGGGGAAAGTCACGAACCAGATCAGCGATGTCAGCCCGGCGCCACGGCGCCTGCACCAGTCGGTTGGTGACCCGCCCGCACCTGCCCAGCGGCCCCTGCGGCGCGCCCTCCGCGCCAAGGCCGCCACTCGACCCGTGCCGCCACCGCCGCCTGCGCAGCCTCCGCACCCGTTCCTCTTCCGACTCCACTCGTCCGAGGTGATCACATTCGGTCGGCGGGGCCGGCGCGTCGACGCGCCGCCCCGCGCGGCGCGCAGGGAACACATAGAAAAGTGCCGGCGTCGCGGCGGCGAGCCGGGCCGGCGCCAGTCCGGCGACGCGTATGAAATGGCAGCGACGCGGCGGCCGGCCGGCGGGGTGATTGAAGCGATGACGTGAGCACAGTGCACTGAGGCCGCGCCCGGCGCCGGCGCCCCGTGGACCCGCAGAGAGCCGAGGCGATCTGTGACGTCATCGACGCCGGGACCGGCCGCCACGGAGAGGTAAGCAACGTGGACCAGGCCATCAAAAGAGCAGATGAAATGGGATGGCGGACACGAACTGGCTACATCTGCTAAACTTTGTGAGCTATCGGATCAGGGTACGGCGATGTGGTGGAGACAATAGTCTGATAGCAATGCTGCAGCGAGACGAGAGCCTCCGGCAGAAGCTCTGCTGGGGAGAGCGGGACCTCGTGGCAGTGCGAAGGCCGTCGGCGGGACCTGATGTGTCGCGGCGGTGGGTGGGACGAATTTTGTCCAGCTGAAATGGCCGACTGGCGGCCGGCACCGACTGACGGGGCTCGGTGGAATCCGCGGACGATGTCTGACGTCACGAGGCGGACATCGCTCAGGCAGATGAGGTCAGGTCTGTACACCCCTCTAGAGAGAGCCATTCAAATGTGATAGGTACTTGGGAGCGCGCCGTTATAAACATCAACGGCCATAAAAAACAGATGCTGTTAGGCAAAACACCACATGGCACAAATCCAGCAAAAGGCTTAAAGATAACCAGCAGGGAAAGCTTACAACAGCGTAACATCCAAGATCGTCGCAGGCCGCGAAACTTTCGGCTCGCACGCGCGCGCTGCTCCCCGTACCGACATCGCACACCTCAGACTTGAAAAGCATGAGATCTGGGCGGCTGCCCCGCTGCGGGACGCCCCGCGCTGCGGCGCCAGCTGCCGCCAACTGCCAGCAGAGCCGGGCATTTGTACCATGGCGCCGCTCCCTGGCCCGCCGTCGTGCTCTAGCTAGTGCCCCTCCTGGCCCAATCTGCTTTGAGCAAGGTTGATAAATATACTTTAATATCACTGCGCACCGCTGGCGGTCGGCGGCTGGCAGGGGCCGCCGGCGCCGCGAGCTCCGCCCGGCGCTCAGCCTCGGTCCGGCGCCTCGCCCGTCTCCATCGGAGCCGGACTCTGCACCGAGAGTGAGCGGAGCGCCGCGCTCGGCGACGGTGGCGCCTCCTGCGCGCCGCCCAGCGCGGCCGGCAGCTGGCGGAGGTAGGTGGGCGGCTGCTCCTCCGAGTTGGCGCGGCGCGGCGGCGCGCGCGGCGAGCGCGGCGGCCCCGCCTCGTCCACGCTGCCGCCGCCGCCGCCCTCAGCCCAGCTCGTAGCGCGCGTGCGTGCGCATGTGGCGCGTGATCATGTCGCGCCGGCACGCCGCGTACGGACACTGCGGGACACTTGTACGGCTTCTCGCCGGTGTGCGTCCGCTGGTGCGTCGACAGGTGATCGGAGCGCGAGAACACCTGGCCACACACGCGGCACGTGTACGGCTTGAGGCCCGTGTGCAGCCGCATGTGGCGCGTCAGCATATCGCTGCGCGCGAACGAGCGCTTGCACGTGTCGCACACGTACGTCTTGGAGGCGGCGTCGACGGGCTTGCTCTTGTGGCGCGACGCCATGTGCTTGGCCAGCCGGTCGTGCAGCGAGAACATCTGTCCGCACACGGGGCACACGTAGGCCACGTCCGTGCCCGGCGGCATCTCCTCCACCACGGGGCACACCTCTAGGTTGTAGCGCAGCGCCACCGAGTCGCGCGTGGTCGGCGAGGCGACGTTGCCGTGCACGATGGGGATGGGCGGGTGGAGGCCGGGCGAGCGGAGGCGCAGCAGCGGGTGCGCGCCGAGCCGCGGCGCCGCCGCCTCCGAGCCGGGCGTGCCGGCACTGCTGGCGGCCGAGCCGAGCCGCGCCGAGCGCAGCGACAGGTCGAGCGGCGAGTCCTGCGGCGACGACTGGTCCGACTCGAGCGAGCCCGACTTGCCCGGAATGTGCAGCGGCCGCGGCGCGCGTCGGCCCTGCCGCAGCACGGAGCCAGCGCGCCGGCGCCGGCGGCTCGAACCACGCGCTCAGGTCCGAGTCGGAGCGGCTGCGGCGCCGGTACAGCTCGCTCAGCTGCGACAGGTACTCGAGCGGCAGCGGCGACTGCGAGAGCGGCGTGGCCGGGCTGACCGGCGTCAGCGGCGACTGCGGCGAGCCCGACAGGCCGGCGCCCAGTAGCCGGTTGTGCACTTCCAGCCGGTGCTCGCTGTCCATGCCGGCCGTGCACTGCGCGCACGCGCAGAAGGTGAACTTGTGCGGCTGGCCGCCGCCCGTCTCGCGCTCGCACGGCGGCACCTGCAGCCGCGGCGGCGAAGCAGATGACGCGTGCGCGCTCCTCCAGCCGCACGTCGGCCTCATAGTCGACCTCCTCCTTGATGCGCAGCGCACCGAATCCGACGCGCGGCGAGTCCTGGCAGACGAGCGGGCTGTCGAGCGACGAATGCGGCGACTTGGACGACACCGGCGAGAACACGTCCTCCTCCTCCTCCGAGATGGCGCGGCACGCGAACCGCTCGCCGTCGGCGCTGTCGAAAGCGGAACACGTCTGCGCCGAGCGCGCGCGGGCTCCGGAGCAGCGCGTCAGTGCGCGCCGGCGCCGCCAGGGGCGCGGCAGGTCGCGCCGGGCTCTGGCGCCTCTTCGGCCGGCCGCTCCGGCTCGGCCTCGCCGCGGGAGAACATGGCAGCGGCGGGCGGGCGGCGGCCGACTAGTGCGGGACGGCGCGGAGAGGCAGCCATCGTCGACGTCCGCGGGGCCGCCGAGCGTCAGCTTCTGAAGCACCGTGTCGAGACGGCGCCGCTTGCTCAGGCTGGGCTCGCTCTGGGTGCTGGGCGGCAGGGCCAGCTGGGCCATGGTCAGGCGACCGGGCCGGGCGCCGCGCTGGGCGGCTGCGCCGAGGTCATCCCGGCCGCCCGCTCACCGGCTCCTCGGGTCACCGCCTGTCGGCAGACGGGCACGCGTCATGGGACGACACCGACAGCCGGTGTGCCGTATCACCATCGATACCGACCGTTGACAGCCGGTGTGCCGCATCACCATCGATGCCGAACGCCGACAGCCGGTGTGCCGCATCACCATCGATACCGAACGCCGACAGCCGGTGTGTCGCATCACCATTGATACCGAACGCCGACAGTCGGCGTGCCGCATCACCATCGATACCGAACGCCGACAGCCGGTGTGCCGCATCACCATCGATACCGAACGCCGACAGCCGGCGTGCCGTCTCACCATCGATACCGAACGCCGACAGCAGGTGTGCCGCATCACCACCGATACCGAACGCCGACAGCAGGTGTGCCGCATCACCATCGATACCGAACGCCGACGGGCAAACGACGGTCAGCGGGCACCAGAGGAATAATGCTGCCGTAAAAGGAAACGAAACATTGCTCTAGGCGTTGGTGCTTAACGACTGCCATCATCATACATCGGTGGTTATTTCGTTATGGAGCGGTCATTCGCACTTAGCTGTAAGTCGTTTATTTAGTCTTTATTACGAATGCTAGTATTAAATCTCGGTTTCAGACCAAAATTTAGCTTTACTTCTTGTCGAGGAACGAAATGGTTTGACACATAGAGCTCCTACTGGCTTAGGGAAGCTTCGGCATCCCAGGGCATTTTCAGGACCGCCCACCGTTCGTCAGATAGCAAGCTGAGTATATGCACCTAAGTTGGGTAAGCTTTTATCCGAATGGCCAAGCAAAACGGGTGTACGCATGGGCATAAAGACATGCAAGACGGGTGTGAAACTCCAAGAACGGGAATGCGCTGTTCGCTGTCATGTGTCTATGACATCGGAAGTCTTGAGATCGAGGTCACATGTGTACATCTTTGCTTGCGGCGCCTGCCCTGACCCT